CACTGTGGTGGAGGAAAGAGTCAGATGAGCAGAGTAGATGATGACAGAGAAAGGGAGAGGAAAGAAGGAGCTTGTCAGTGATGCATTTGCAGGCGGTGTTACTTGCTAATCATTAATACCAATTTTAAAGAAATTAGGCGAGTATAAAACATGATTTCCTAGAGACTACAGTTACTACACTGCAGCAATGACGGTATTTTATGTTTAATAATTATTCATTCAAATTGTACTGTTAAGAGGCATACTAGGCACAAATATACTGATTAATTCAAAGCATCTATGAATGTAACCCATACGATCACCCAATATGATCATTATGTGTAGGCTATTTGTGAGAAAGCTACTTTTTAATAAGTGGCAAAAGTGTTATTCAATTCTCCAGAAGCTTAGGATGATGTAACTACAATATGAAATATACTGAGGGGGGGTGGAGTGGTGCGTTTTTCCTGATTAATTTAATTGTTTACATCAAGCCAAGAAGATGGCGCCTTGAAGTCTCATAACTGTGTCAGAAGTCAGTGGGAGACTGCTACATATCTAAAAGATAAAACATGTGCTCATAGACAAACAGTGACAATAAACACTGTGCTGATTATCTATTGGCTGCTGAGGTCAGCCCACCTGGAAGACTCAGCTGTGAAGTCGTGGAGGGACTGGGACAAAGGTCAGTTATTAGACTGAAAAGGAAAATAGAGAGTGTCCTGTCCCAATGATTACATTCTTGTTAGCAACAAATATAAAACAATAACTGTATAGTTTTATTTATGTAACATATTGTTAGGTTTCCCGAGAAGTGACTGGAGATGAGAACCCGCTATGCAAGCACTAAAACTGAGACAGTGGTGAAGTGTCAAAAAAAGGCTTTATTTTGTCCACGACACTGACAAGGAGTTGACGAAGCACACGTAGAGGGAAGACGTGGAGCTGGGCTGACCAGGAGGGGAGGCTGGACGTGGCAGGCAGAGCGGCTGGAGTATGTGGATCTGGAACAGGAAAAACAAGCAGTACTGCAGATCCTCACACATATAATCATTTAGTTTATATATACACACACATACACACACACACACACACACACACACACACACACACACACACACACACACACACACACACACACACACACACACACACACACACACACACACACACACACACACACATATTTAGGTTTATTGTGCTGGTCCTTAAACGTCAGTAGTAGAGAAGAAGTAGAAGTACCAACTTCCTAAAATCTACACAACATCAGATTAGTTTCAACATTATTGTCATTGCACAGAATGTTGAGTGAAGACAATGGAATAAGGGTATGCATGTGCTAGATACAGTGTGAGCAGTTGAACAGTATTTACAGTGGGTAAATTACAGCAAATGATATGCGATGACTCTGACCAAACAACATCTTGTTGACACTTGGCTTAAGCAATAGTGATTGCATCATCGTGTTTCTACTTCCCCTCAAAATCAGTGTTTGACACTGACTGTAAAACTCTGAATCACGAGGGTTTGCATGTTCAATGATCCTCCTGCTAAGTTGTGATTTAAAAAAAGAGAAAAATATGATATTTATTGTATTGACGTTTTTGTCTTCGTACATGGGTAACTGCCAATAGTTGTTTTTTGTATGTATGTTGTATTTTATTTTAATTGTGATTATTTTTCAAACATTTTGAAAAAGATTCTGCTCCCTCACTGACACTGTTTTTCCTCATCTCTACTTACTCTAACTTTGAGGCTTTATTTATACTTAATGCCTAATGCATCACAATATTGCTTTTATATTTATGTATATTTAATTCCTGTGCCCCAACTCACCGTAGATTCTCCAGCTCAGCAGGCAGGTCTATTTTCATCAGCTTCTTGCACTTCTTCACACGTACACAATTAAGCTTCATCACTTGATCCATGTATCTAAAGGAAAAATAAGACATTACATCCAAAGCAGATAGTTCTAGTCAAAGAAGGAGATACCAAGATATCCTTACTTGTCAATGGTCCCAAAGAGCCATGGGCTCTTTGTTAAAGGGCATGCTCATTTCATGGAAACATGCCACCTTGGTGGCAATCTCAGCCGATATGGCAGGATCGGGAAGTTGATCTGTGCGCATGCGGGTATTCTGGAAAAACAGATAAAATAAAGATGATACCAATGCTTCCTCTACCTAAGGACCTAGCTCAAGTATTTTATGGATTTACATACTATCAATCAATCAATCAATCAATCAATCAATGTTTATTTATATAGCCCAATATCACAAATGTTACATTTGTCTCAGTAGACTTCACAGTTTGTACAGAATATCAATATGACAATACGACACCCTCTGTCCTTAGACCCTCACATCGTACAAGGAAAAACTTCCGGAGAAAACCCCACAGTTTAAAGGGAACATGGGAGAAACCTCAGGGAGAGCAACAGAGGAGGGATCCCTCTCCCAGGACGGACAGACGTGCAATAGATGCCGTGTGTAAATCGAAAAGACAATACATTTACAGCATAGGTAGACCAAATGTTTGGAAATGCATGTGTGTATAATAGGAAGATGAATCCACGAGGATGTCAGCAATCTTGTGGGAGCCATCAGTGAAGTAGTATGGTGAGAGTCTGGCAGGACCGCAGAGACAGGTTCAGCCACGACTCGAAGTTCAGGACTCAGATCCAGGACTCAGATCCAGGACTCAGGACCACAGCAACAGGATTAGCTTCGAATCAGCATCCTGGCGTAGATATGGACACAAAAAAGAGATTTGGGGGAAGCTGGGTTAATCGGAACATGAGAGTACACAGGTACAAACAGACAGCAGTGCTATCACATCAGGGCAAAGTTAATGTCATTACACATAGCTACAGTATATAGTAATTGGTCACTACACCACTACAACACGTGCAAACCAACTGTTTTGCTATCGTGTCTAAAGTGACTGATCACTTGCACTAAGGCTGCGGTTCAGTCTTTTTTGATTCCTAACTGAGCGAAATAACCTAAGTGGGAGCGAGGATAAGAGCTATTTATTACTCTGGACGATAAGGAAAGGAGCTTAACACTTCCTTTATTATCTCCATTAGCATAGAATACACTGTACCATCCTGTACGAAAATAAAGCAGATATGGGTATTAAATTAACACATCTTTCACTGTTGTCCACATTTATAGAGCCTACATGAAACAACATCATGAGAAGCCACACTCCAATGTTTAGACGTGTCTATAGAAGTCTAGATCTATGTAAAATTGTAGTTTTACCACAGCAGACCAAATTAAGTCCTGTTGGATTCTCCTTCACATCTTTCCTTAACTTAACCCCTTTACGTTTTTCACTAAGGTTAATGAAATGTGGTTATGAAAAGGACCTGTTTTTTTTATTCGCAGCCCAATACTGTCCTTCCCTAACTGGCAGCTGGCTCAGCCTTAGTATGCTTCAGTGATTCTCAAATGGGGGTACGCGGACCCCTAGGGGTACGTTGGGGTACTGCAGGGATACGTGAGATTTATTCCTAGAACCACCAAGGGGGTCCTCATATAAACATGTCAAATGTGTGTATTGTATTTTATAGTTTTGCATAATATATAATTGTGTTCATTGGTTTGTTAAACAGATATTACTTCAGTTGAAAAACTCCTTGGAAAAATCAGTTTAAATTGTTATTTTTTTTCATGCATAAAATGAAAATATCCTTAGTTTGTTGTAATGCATGCATGAAGGAGGTAATACATCACAAACTGAGGGAACATCACTATATTGGAATGATTTGTATAGGCTTTTTCGATCAAAAATGTTCGGGGTCGGTCAGGGGGTACTCGGCTGAGAAAATGTTTCAAAGGGGGTCCACTACTGAAAAAAGTTTGAGAAGCACTGGGCTACATGGTGTACCTGCTGCTCAAATTGAGCCCTGTGCTGTTTTTCACCTTGTACATATATATTTTAGTGCACTCATATCACATTGTTTATATACTTAAAATAGCATAGTTTAATTGGATTTTGGGTAGTTAAAAACCAAAAAACAGGATTAGGATCACTTTGATATCCGATCAAATCAGGAAATCAAATCCAAGCTTTAATCTGGATCAAATCTTCAAAACGGGTAGTTCAAACCGACAACACAGGATTGGGGTCAGTTTGATCCCAAACAACTGGATTATCCTGATCCCACCAGAGGGGTGGATTTCCAGTGGATTACAAGAGCAAAATGTACTGTACCATTTATTGTTAAATATGTTTCAATTTAAATTAGATGGCAAAGTTTGAAAGAATACACAATGTTTATGGTGGCCTATTTTGGTTTCACCAAATGTTGATGACATAAATGTGTATGCTCATAAAAGTATCACAACAAAGATTGTCGATCACAAATGTAATTTAGATTAAAGAAAAAATATCTTCAACAAAAAGAAAGTCCATCATCTGTCATCACCTTTCAAAAGTAATTGCGGACAATAGATGTCTCTGCAATGTGGTCTCTTGTCTTCCTTGTATTATTTTTCATATTTTAATGTAGCCTTTGTTTCTGCTAACAGAGGTGTTGACCAGCTGGGGCAACAAGAAAATTGGCGTAATCGAGTGTGACTATTAAAAAGTAAATCATTATTATAGTAATATTGACAATAACAACCGACCGTCGGGTAGCATTTGCTTGGCATTTCCGGGTATATCTCTACTGGTTGGGCCATGTTAACAATACCGTGTAACTGTCACGTTGGAAGGGACGAAATCGTGACATCTTCACGTCTCCCGGCATGGTAAATCGTCACATGTTCACGTCTTGCCGTGACACCGGGTTGCTTTTGATAGAGTTAAGCTTCCCACCTTAACTTTTTTTCTGTTTGTTTTTTTGCTTTGTATACATTGGTAATCTGTGCCTGTTTTGGTCAAACTGCAGATGTTTTGAGATGTGCCATGGAAATAAAGTTTGCATTGCTTTGAAGTCATGTGTGTTGAGTCATATACAGTAGTCATAATATGCCATTGTCAATGTCAATTCATAAGACTCGAAAACATAGTTCAGCAATTGGGTATTTATTTGAAACTCAATCACTTTTCACAAAACATCAGAAAAGGAGACTTCATGATAATGTAATGTTGTTACTGAATGAAGACCAGCTCCTTACTGCTAACAACAGTGGTCTCTTCTCTGGAGGCTTTCTGGACAGACACGTCTCTCCCTGTGTAAAATACATTCCAATGGTCAGTTGCTGTCAGACTTGAGGTTGAAAAAGACACAAGATGACATCAGACATCATACACCTTTGGTGAAAACATGTTCAGCTTTTTTGATTTTCAAATCATCTGCCATACACTTAAAAAACATGACTCTATAGTTTACTGTTTGTCACAAGTCTGCTTTATGTCTCCAGATTCAGAACTAAACATGGAGAAGCATCGTTAGTTATTGTGCTCCAAAAATCTGGAATATACTCCCAGAAATGTGAAGGTCAGCTGCAACGCTTACTATTTGAATCCAGGCTAAAATACTTTCATTTTGCTGCTGCTTCTAATTGAACTATTCATATCTTACACTGCACTGTAACTTGTATGCATGTATTTCATACCTGTGTTATTCTATATTAGCTTGTTTTATGTTTATTTTTAAACTCTTTGCTTTTTAATGACTGTTTTTAAAGCCATTTATAATGTGTTTCCACTGCACTATTTCTTAATGCTATTAATGTTTTTCATTTTTGTAAAGCTTTGAATTGCCTTGTGTTGAAATGTGCTATATGAATAAATTTGCCTTGCCTTGTGTTCATTTTACAGACTTCAGAGAAAAATAAAATTGGTGGTTTGAATATTTTCACAGTGAATATTGTTATACTTACTGCTTCTGAAGCACCTAGGTTCACAATTGTCTCCGACAGACGGTTGACACACGGCTGCTTCACAGTGGATATACACCTGGTCAAAAAATGTCATATATTATTCGTAATTATGAAGGTTATATGACAAAAAACATATACAAACTAAACTTGACAAAAGCCTTTGTCTTAGATAGTTAAATCTTATACCTTTTCGTTGAGAGGAATCAAAGCCTGTTGCTTTACACCTCCACCGGATACAAATGTGAACATCTTGAAAACAAAACGCCTGTGATGGGTTGGGTACATGAGTCCTGATGAAGCGTCCACAGGGACCAGAGTGGTCAGATAGCGGTCATCACGGTATGGGCAGCTATGGCAAAGAGAGTGAAGAATAGGTTTTGAGTATAGCCTCGTAGAAAGTTTTATAGATGCCTATTTCCAAGTAAAATCAACATTCACTCTTACCCATCAATCAGCAAGTCCCATTGAGGGAGACTTTGAGGGTAGGGATCCGAAGTTGCCCAGCATTTTCCAAGAGTCAATTTAATGTTGGGATCTGTCCTCTCCAGAATATGGACTTCCACATACACAGGGTCTCTGAGAACCTTTGTGACGGGGTAGTCAGAGTCAACGTAAAAGGAGTTGTAGGCCACATCCTCTGCTCAAGCAAAACAAATGTGGTTAGTGCACAGTCACTGCCGAATGAGACTGACAGCACACCATATGTCCTTTACACTAACCTTCCACACATCCCTTGACTGAACACTCTCCATTGGCCAGCACTAGCTCCACGCGCAGGGGTCCTGGAGCTGCCACTGGGAGTGGTGGAGGAAGTATGCCAACCTCGATAACTAGAGCCTCAATTGCGGTGCCAATGTATCTACACTGGACAAGCAGCCTGAGACAAGATATAAGGTCTATGTTAGTCAGTTAGTCAGAAAAGTATTGAAGTGCAGTTTGTCATATCACAATGAACTAACCCCAAACCATTGTAGAGAATTCAAGGTAAATTCACTGTATTCTATTGATACCACTGATTTGTCTGAATACTTGAGGCCTTAGCAGAGAATTAACTGAAGTAGCAACAGAAGTAGTCATCTTTCATGTTGTGACCACTCAGAGTTAAACAAATACAAATAAATACTCGTATTGACTGTCCCTGGTGATGGCTCCGTTGGGTCCAATAGCGACTTCATAAGAGGAGGACATCCGGTTCTCATAGATTATAACGCCAGGCTCCTCCTACAGTAGGTTGGCAGTATTTCAGTTTTACTACCAAACGAAAATGTATACTAATGACATTATACATTTAAAATAGTCAAAAATCCTTACCATCATGACAGTGCCACAGGCAGTGACAGGGAACTGGTAGATGGCAAAGGCTGAAGTAGTGCCAACAGAATGGCAGGTTTCGCCACCTCCAAGGAAGAAAACTGTCTCTAAATCGAGGTAGGGTAGGGTGGCGTCTTTGGCCACCACCACGATGAATTGACCATCCTTGGTGCACTGAAGGGTCACTGAAAACAACACAATTACAAGCAAAGACTATGGATCATGCTATACTCATTGAACACATTGTAATTACTAGAGATATACACGTATTTCTTTGAGGAGTAAGAAAAACACTAACCAGATTTTCCATAATAGCACATGTTTCCACCATAGCAGCAGTTTATAGCTTCACAATGTTCAGTAGAGATTCCAGGAGCTCCACACGATATCTTTTGATTGTCAGCAACTTCACAAGTTTGCTGAGACTGCTGAGGCTGATGAGGCTTTTGATGCCACGGTGGCTGTTTAGGCTGCGGAGGCTGCTGAGACTGCTGAGGCTGCTGAGGCTGCTGATCATGCTGCAGGGACTTCTGAGGCTTCTGATGTGGGTTCCATTTAGGGGGGGTTGTTGGATGCTGATGTGGGTTCCATTTAGGGGGGGGTTGTTGGATGCTGAGGTGGGTTCCATTTAGGGGGGGTTGTTGGATGCTGAGGTGGGTTCCATATAGGGGGAGTTGCTGGCTTATGAGGCTGCTGATGCCACTGTGGCTGTTTAGTATGCTGATCATGATGCAGGGGCTGCTGAGGATGCTGATGTGGGTTCCATTTAGGGGGGGTTGTTGGATGCTGATGTGGGTTCCATTTAGGGGGGGTTGTTGGATGCTGATGTGGGTTCCATTTAGGGGGGGTTGTTGGATGCTGAGGTGGGTTCCATTTAGGGGGGGTTGTTGGATGCTGAGGTGGGTTCCATATAGGGGGAGTTGCTGGCTTATGAGGCTGCTGATGCCACTGTGGCTGTTTAGTATGCTGATCATGCTGCAGGGGCTGCTGAGGATGCTGATGTGGGTTCCATATAGGGGGAGTTGCTGGCTTATGAGGATGCTGATGTGGGTTCCATATAGGGGGAGTTGCTGGCTTATGAGGATGCTGATGTGGGTTCCATATAGGGGGAGTTGCTGGCCTATGAGGCTGCTGATGTGGGTTCCATATAGGGGAAGTTGCTGGCCTATGAGGCTGCTGATGTGGGTTCCATATAGGGGAAGTTGCTGGCCTATGAGGCTGGTGAGGCTGCTGATGCCACTGTGGCTGTTGAGTATGCTGATCATGCTGCAGGGGCTGCTGAGGCTTCTGAGGTGGGTTCCATTTAGGGGGGGTTGTTGGATGCTGAGGTGGGTTCCATTTAGGGGGAGTTGTTGGATGCTGAGGTGGGTTCCATTTAGGGGGGGTTGTTGGATGCTGAGGTGGGTTCCATTTAGGGGGAGTTGTTGGCTGCTGGGGCAGCTGAGGCAGCTGAGGCCTCTTTGGCTGTTTAGAATGCTGATCATGCTGCAGGGGCTGCTGAGGCTGCTGAGGCGGGTTCCATTTAGGGGGGGTTGTTGGCTGCGGAGGTGGGTTCAGTTTAGGGGGAGTTGTTGGCTTCTGAGGCTTCTGAGGTGGGTTCCATTTAGGGGGGGTTGTTGGCTGCTGAGGCTGCTGAGGCTGCTGAGGTGGGTTCAATTTAGGGGGGGTTGTTGGCTGCTGAGGCTGCTGAGGTGGGTTCCATTTAGGGGGGGTTGTTGGCTGCTGGGGCAGCTGAGGCCCCTTTGGCGGTTTAGACTGATGATCTTGATGCCACTTTGGCCACTGCAGGGGCTCCGGATGCTGCTGAGGCTCCTGAGTCCACTTTACAATTTGAGCATCAGCCAGACAGCCAAGCAGGGCAACTGCCAAAAAAGAAAAAATCAACTTCATTGCATTGGCTTCACAGTGAACTGATTCGAAAGGAACACCAACTACTGTGGAATAAAAATTGTGCTATGCTGACTTTTATAAGGTTGGCCTATTGGTAATGTTGACGATGAGGACTCACATCCTATTTGCTACCCATAACTTCCAATCACAAGCTCCAGTGACTGTGGTGTGTGGTGATGCACTAAGGAGATTTAATGGATTGCCAAACAAGAAATTTCAGTGGACAAATAACATGAATTCTAGAGATATTGCATCGGAAGATAATAACAGCATACATGGTAGTAAACTCACTGTTGCATTAACATGAATATGTATTGATTAGTATCCAACCCATGCTTAAGAACCCCCTGATTGTCATTGAGCGTAAATGTCAGAATTTCCAGATTGTTTGTACAATACCAAAACAAAACCTTTCACAGAGTTTGTATGACCTGCAATGTGCAGGTCATCATGTATTTGGGCAGCAGGGCTCGACTAAACAAATACTTCTTCCTATCTTATTTGCCATTGATACAAACATTTAACTGAATTGAGGAGCGTCCATAAACAACTATTATAGCATGCAGATATGTCAAATGTAAAGAAATGAGTTAAGTTAGTGGCGTGTGCATATACGTCAAGCATTTCAACATTCTCTAGATGGCTGGATTCATGTAACATATACTAGCAATTTATATATTTATAGCATTCATGTCTGAACATCTTATTTCACATTTTCTAAGAACTTAGCTGGGGAAATATTGTGGGATTGGCACACTTAGTATTTCCCGTCAAACATAGAAAATTGTACGCAGATTCAGATCAGTCTGTACTTGGTTGACATAATAATTCATTTTTCTTGGATAAGCTTTTTTTCTCACTGATGCGGTAACGAAGATTTAGAGGTTGCATACAATTTTGTTGTCATTTTGATTTTAATAATTTGTTTAATAGCTTTGCCATTTATAAAATATGGATTTGTTATATTTGAAATAATTTGGTCAAAAAAGAGCACGAAAAAATGGAAAGCAAAGCAGATGAATAATTTGAGTTTATTGTAAATCACGTATCTGCAGGTGAAAATAAGGAAAAACATGTCATCACTTGACCTCTGTATTATTTTTCAATTTTGGGGTTCATCTAATTTTTCTCTCGCAGGAATATTTCATTTATAAACTCTTTTTACTTCTCAAGATCACCAATCTATTTGATCTCACAGTAAAGGTCATTTAGAAACATCAACCTGGAGTGGGACCATATTGATTTGCAGCTCTCCACAACATGTACTTTGGCAAAAATATTGAGTTTGACATTCCATGTTGAGGTAAGGTTGACCTAACCCAAGGGTCAACATAACTTTTTGTGACCAAGACCTTTGGAACTTTCAAAAGTTACTTTCAAATGATACATTACCATTACCATCACATTTGTGTCAGCATATCCACAGTTTTGTGTTCATAATACTATTTATTTATGCTGCTTGTATTTTTTCAGCATAGTATAACATGTTATGCATTAAAATAATAAATAATCCAAATCTAGTTGAAGATGCATCACCAGAGCTGTAGGCATTGCTTTCGTCAAAAGCAGCAATCATTTCATTGGCTTAGCATCTAAGATCATCAGGTCTGATGGGGAATGGCCAACAGAACGGGCGGGAATGTTGTGGAAGTAAACATGATAACTTATTATAAAAGTAGGTGCATGTCCATCTTCTTCACATTACCTAGTGAACTGTGTAGATCACTTGCTGTTGTGAAGCGATGGTGATAAAGTCCACTGTTGTGTGCCTTGTGGCACTGGCCTTGTTAGGCAGCTTATGTCATGCTCAATGGGCTGCGAGTGGTTACAAGCCGGCAGCACCATACAAGAAGCCAGCACCGAGACAGGAGCCTGTCAAACAGACGCCCCAACAGACTAAGCAGACATTTGAAAGACCTCTCACCTGGGTATACCCTGCTGACCCCACGCCTGACCCTGAAGTCGTGGTGCCTTTCGAGTTGAGATTTCCTGTTGCTGCTGCAACTGTTGCTGTCGAGTGCAGAGAGAGTATTGCTCACGTGGAAGCCAAGAAGGACTTGTTTGGGATTGGCCAATTTATCAACCCTGCCGACATTACCCTGGGAAACTGTGCCCCTGTCGCAGAGGACAATGCTGCTCAAGTGTTGATTTTTGAGACAGAACTGCAAAGTTGTCTTAGCACATTAACCGTAAGCTAAATACAAATGTCACTGAAAAATAAATGAAAGAGTGCAATGATTATTATCTAAAAATATGGTAAACCAATATGTTCATGTATGATGCCATTTGTTTGTACTAATATACATTTTTCCACTAGGTGACAGAAGATTACCTTATCTACAGCTTCACTCTGAACTATGATCCCACACCTCTGGCCGATGCTCTTGTGGTGAGGACCAGCAGAGCGGCAGTAATTGTGGAATGCCACTACCCAAGGTATTAAGACCATTAGAGGCGTGGCAATGAACATACAAACATATAATACATAACATAATATGACATTGAAATACTAACACATTTAGTAACTCCAGTAACCATGGATCACCAAATCTGATTACCTGTGGCGGATGCATATTAGAAATGACTTTAAGCTGCATTTTAAGAAAATCTATTTCATCATTTAGGAAGCACAATGTGAGCAGCCTTCCTCTTGACCCCTTGTGGATCCCATTCTCTGCAGTTAAGGTATCAGAGGAATTCCTTTACTTCACCTTGAGACTCATGACTGGTGAGTTAAAAAACAGTTTATCTGCAGAATGAACCTTTTACAGAGCTTTGATTAGAAATGTATATTTTGCAACACTCATTTTAATTTGATGTTTGATCAGATGGCTTTCAAAACGAGAGACCAAGCTTCCAGTATTACCTGGGAGACATCATAAATGTAGAGGCTGTTGTCAAGCAGTTCTTCCACGTGCCCCTCCGTGTCTATGTGGAGAGATGCGTTGCCACCATTGCACCTGACATGAACTCATTACCTTGCTATGTCTTCATTGAAAACAATGGGTGAGCTGGTTGATTTAAATTGATGTGTACAGTGAAAATTGATTATCACAAACAGAAGTTTGTCCTCTAATGTGTTTTTTCTGCATGCAGGTGTTTGGTTGATGCAAGGATCACAGGCTCTAGCTCTAGGTTCATGCATCGCACTGCAGAGAACAAGCTTCAGTTCCAGTTGGAGGCCTTCAGGTTCCAGAACGCTGAGAGTGGAATGGTGGGCATCTCCAAGACTGATTAAAAGATTCTGCTATACATCATAGGCAGGAAAAATACATATAATAATAACAACTTAACCACTCTCTTTTTCAGCTCTACATTACATGCCACCTGAAAGCTACATCCACTTTATGTCCCATCGATGCTGAACATAGAGCTTGTTCCTACATCAATGGGTGAGTCTGGGCTTCTTTGAAAATGTGTCATTGGAGTATTGATACATTATTAACTTTTCTTTTCTTCTCTTCTTCTTCTTCTTCTTCTTCTTCTTCTTCTTCTTCTTCTTCTTCTTCTTCTTCTTCTTTCCTTTCTTTCTTTTCTTTCTTCTTTTCTTCTTTCTTCTTCT